GAATTCGTAGCACTCTCAAAGCGCTTTCAAAGCGCGTAATAGCTAATTTAGAACGACTTTCTATGCAGTCTACGCGTTTCATGCATAATTCGGAACGCACCCATAGGACTCTATCCTTGTCTTTATACGACAGGCGGTACGCGGTTTCCTAATTGCCTAGTTAGTTACCATTAGTTACTGTATCCAGTGTTGCCAGATTGGGGGATTTCCCCCTAGTTCTAGGGGGTCTTTTATCTTATAGGGGAAAATCTGGGGGGCAAAAATGTTTAGGGGGAAATCTGGGATTTTTTCGATAATTTATCGAGGTGAATTAATAAATACTGACGAAACGGAACGGAATGATTGGAAGGAACCAATCAAATCAGATTTTGATTGTTTACCTTTGTCTAATCTATGGTATAACACGAAAGAGAACCACAAAGTCATGGATATTACCTACTGGATCATGGACATTGCCTACGTAGTTCAATAATAAAATACTCAATGCAAGTGTGCAACAGCGATATGGACTTATCTGTAAATTAGTTTTAGCTATTTTAAGTTTAACATTTTCTAACGTGAGCGTTGAAAGAATGTTCTCGATCACGAATATTGTAAAAAATAAATTAAGAAACAAAATGTCCATAAAAACCACAGAAAGAATTTTACGTTTAAAGGTAAATTTTCACGAGCTGCTCAAACCGGTTGTTTCAGCGACAAAAAGGATCACGTGATCAAAATGGACGCTTGATATTTGTCAATTTTGACCACGTGATCTTTTTTGTCACTGAAACAGTCTGTTTAAGCAGCTCGTGAAAATTTACCTTAAGGGACAATCTTCCGAATGGATGTATAAATATGGACGCAAACGCTACCAACGCTGTTCGTGGAGCCAATAGCGCGATAGCGTTAGCAAGCTCCATGAACGACCCTAGCGTAGCGTTAGTAGCGTTTAATATGGAGGATTGGGAAAATCAACTAAAAGCGAAAATCAATTCAATAAAATCGTAGCACTTGATACGTATAACGGAAAAATAGTCTTTAAACGAATCGGTATCTGTCAATTACAAGAGAATAGGGGGGCCCCTATTTTTGAAAAGTATCGCATACGAAAAACTAAGGAAATGCTATAGTTTTTATATGTAACGCAATACTATAGTATTTCCTTAGTTTTTCGTATGCGATATTTTTCGAGAATAGAGGCCCAGGGAACCTATGGACAACTCAGGAATGTATTGTATATAACCTATACTACAAATACGATTGTTCTATGACCGGAAACGAAGTATGTTACGACTGCTGTTACGACTCTAAAATCAGTTTACAACCGCATTGTAGACCCCGCATAAGAATTCTTGAAACAACATTCAATCAATACTACAGTGCTGTTCACAGCTTGCAAACGCTACCAATACACTACCTCGGAAGTCGGAAGGAATAGCATTGATAGCGCGCAGTTATGACGTAACACGCTATCGTTAGTGACGTCATGATCGTGTTTGTTAGCGCTATCTGCAGCTCCGCGAACAGTTTGTAGTGTTAAATAGTGCGAATAATGGGTGTGTTCCGTTTTTACTGGCAGTACAGTAAACGTGACATCATCATGCATGGTCTACAATGGCAGTAGCAGTAGTGGATGAGACTGTAAGAGTAATAAATTGACCAATCACAATCGATTGTGAAAAGAATAATCGACTGTGATTGATCAATTTCTTACTCTTACTTCTTAAACCAAGCCTACTTCGCATATTGTAGACGACGCCTCACAGTATACTGCGACAACTGTTTCACAATTACTCCGGATCTACAATAGAATTTTAAGCCTTAAGCCATAAGAAATGGACGAATCACAGTCAATTATTCTCCTCGAATTCGATTGTAATTGGATAATTTCTTACGGCTTAAGGCTTAAAGCACGTATTGTAGATCCGGGGTTACTGCCAGCATAGCTGTAACAGCGTATATCGGAACAAATTTCAAGTGCTATCAACATGGCGATGTACGCAGTAAATAAACAGGTTAAGTTACAAATTTGCATGATTGCAATAGAAATATTGAACGAAAGCAGTGATACCTCACTTACCATTGCGTGCTTTATGCGCATTTTCTACATTTAAATAAAGAATATATGTAATGTTATATTCAGGATCTAATATTTTTACTTTTTCAGTAGTACCAGGGTATTTATCATGGAACGTGTCGGAATGAATTCCGATCGTAATTTTCCCGTTTTCTCTAGAAAATACGATAGAAATGTGAAGAATAATTGAATAATTTTGATCGGTATCAATTCCGAATAATTCCATAATACGTACTCTGATGTGGATATGCCTGATATCATTGGCGTTGATAATGCCATGTTCGACGCCATATTTCTACTGTAAAGGTACAATTTCATGCAACGAAACTTCGCTGGCGAAACCCCCCCCACTCCGTCGATTCGTGCGAAAATGCACGTAAAAGTCGTAGTCGTAATCATAAGACCGTAAAAAGCGATAAATTGATTGGCTACTGCGTCGGGGCCAAGCATTGTCGCGTTTTCTACGCAGAAGCAACACGAGAGAAACGTCATAACCTCAAAGCCACGATCATAGACGCAAGTTTTCGTCCCATCAAAAGATTGCGATTAATGCTTTATCCTTATGACTAACCAATCGGAAGACAGTCACATGACTTACCGCTTGCCCCGTAGCCTATCAATTTATCGCTTTTCATGGTCTTATGGTTACGACTAATACTTTTACGTGCAATGGCCTTTAGCTAGCGAAGCTTCACTCAAAGTTCAACACTATCCAACTATAAGTCTGTTCGCGTTGCATGAAATCCCCAAATTTTTTGCACTTAAAATGAGATAAATATATATTTGGCCTTGAAAAGAGAGAAAGCGAAGATGCCAAGTACCAAAAGTGCAAGTAACGTGAACAGACCTTATGAGCGAAGCAACGCTGACTCTGGCTATGGTCCACTTGATTGGCCAAATAATTCGAAGCATCTTTTGATTGATCAATTTTTTGGATTGTCTGTTCAACGCTCCTTTATTCATGGCGAGTGGGAGTAACTTCGCCAGCGAATCTTCGCTCCATGAAAAGGTAAGAGGGCTTTAGCGAAGAGCGAAGAACGCTGGCTTCGTTTACGACGGAGTGGGGAGTCTTCACCAGTGAAGCTTCGCTGCATGAAATTGTACCTTAACTGCCTCACCTCGAAAGCTGCAGTAGTCGCAGTGGCAATATGGCTA